GTCGATTCGGTTTGACTTTACGGTTTGACTTGTACACCCCTATTCACAAGGATATTATTCTTGATGTTTAGTTTTTTTATACTATCCTTAATTAGTTTTTCAAAAAGACTTTTAGGAGTTTAATTTGTGATACTTGTATCTATTTCCTCGGTTCACTTTTATTTGTCACTTATTTCTAAAATAAATTTTCATTTTTACTTGTCACTTTTGACATATCAAGAAAAGACAAATTTTTTTTCCTCATATTTTACCCTTAACATTAAATACTTATTTTTAGAATCATTTTCAAGCCATCATTTAATAGGGGATAGTTTGGTTAAATACTTATATCAATAATAATTTTCTTAATGGTGTGTCAAGTCAAAGTGTGACAAGTAAAATTTAATAGAGGGAGTAGTAAATTGTGATACATATATCGAGGGTTGTACATGGTTATTGGTTAAAAAATCAAACCGAACCGCAATCCGAACCAAATCGATGAAAAAAATGAATATTTGGTTTGGTTTAGTTAGGTTTGGTTTTAAATTTTGAAAACCGATACTATTTGATTTGGTTTTGATTTTACTAAAAAACAATCGCAAAAATAATCAAACCGAACCGATAAATTAGATATATAAATTTTGTAACTATTTATATATTATTCATAAATAAAATATAAATATTTTGTTAAATTTTAATTAACTTAAGTCTTTAACTTTACCATTTTTTCAAGCCCAACATGAAAAACTATAACAATCCTAAGTTCAAGTCCATCAAAATTCATTTTAGTCTTTACCTGCCATACTTCACATAAAATAGTCACACTTTCTCTTAATTGAATCACTTTGTTCGTGTAATGCTCTAGTATCGCTTAATTGCTCAATTGAACCGACAACAACTTTTTTGTGGATTGTTCATGTACTAGATGTTTGTTTCTATCGAGATACGTACGTCCTCAAAAAAATTATTACTTTCAAATTGAATAAACTAGAAAAATTGAACCAAATCGACAGTTATTTTTTCATTCGGTTTGGTTTGGTTTTAGAAATTTAAAAAATCGACTGATTGATTTGGTTTTGATTTTAATCAATAATCGAACCACGAACACCCCTACATATATCTGGTTATTTGTGCAAAACTTTTGATTTGATATTTTGAGTTGTATAAATAGAAATATAGTTGATGATTGTAATCATCTCAAGTTGCCTTAAATAGCCTAAAAAAACTTGAGCATTCTCCAACAAAAGGGTTCTCCTTCTATATTTCCTACAAATTGGTATCAAGAGCAGTTTTTCAGTCTTAATATAGGGTTAGGTGAAGAAAAAATTATGACATCCAAAACAAATGAAAGTGTTGATTTTTCAGTTGTTTTTACTCCACTTTTTTTTTTTATGGAAATGACTTTGTATACTAGAAGATAAGAATGATAACAGATCTAAAAGTTGAAGGTTTGTGGACTATTGTTGCAAATGTCTATGAAGAGCCAGAAGATGATGGTATACTTTCAGCAAGAGATGAAAAATCTTGAGACTAAGTATCGTCAATATGCAAAAGTCTTGAAAAAAATTCAAATGAAAATCTCAAGAGCATATTTATAAAAAAAATTCTACTTATGAGATTGCAAAGCAAGCTTAGGAGTCTCTGAAAGCTGAAGTGTATGGTGACAAAAAGATACGCACTATAAATCTTCAAATCCTTAGAAGAGAGTTTCAAATATTAAAGATGATAGAATCTAAAAAAATAGATGAATATTGCTCAATAGTCTTGAATATTGTTAATGAAATGAGAAATCATGGTGATGATATTTTTGACCAACAAATTACGTAAAAGACTCTATTTAGTGTCACAAAAAAGTATGAGTATATTGTTGCTATCACTATGGAGACAAAATATTTTTCTAAACTTTCCATCAAAGAGCTAGTTGGATCATTTTGTGCACACGAAAAAAAATAAAAACTCGTGAAGACCAATCAAAAGAGAAGGTTTTCCAATCCAGAACCAATGAGCTCAAAATTTCTCAAAAATACAAAAAAAAAAGGTGCAATCCCAAAATGAAGCAAGATCGTGATGGCTCTATTAAGAAGGTTGAAGAAAAAAGGTGAGAAAAGTACTAATTTTTTTTGTAAAATTTACAAAAAAAATAATCATAATACAAAAAAAAATGTTGGTATATAGGTACGCCCCAATATAATCTTTGTAAAAAGTTTGGCCATATTGTGAAGGATTGCAAGCACAAGCAACAGGAGCACGAAAACTTTTATGAAGGAAAGGAGGAAGAAAATAAAGAAAACTTTTTCTTCACTTCTCAATTTGATGCTTCAGAAAAGCAATGAATGGTATGTTGACAACGGTTGTAGCAATCATATGACTAGAGATGAAAAGGCTTTCCTCTCAATTAATAGTAGCGTCACTACTAAAATGTGAATGAGGAATGAAGCCTTAGTTAATGCCAAAGGTAAAGGTTCCATTTCGATCAATTGAAAAGGAAGCGGTAAGCAAATTTATGATGTTCTTTATGTTCGTGACTTGAAAGAAAAATTGCTTAGTGTTCTTCAACTCATGGAAAATGATTATTCTCTTGTGTTTATAGATAATTATTGTAAGATTTATGAGAAAATTGAGCCAAATCAAGTCATTGTTTAAGTAAAGATAATAAAAAGAAATTTTCCTTTACAATGTCATTACAATACATTGAAAAATGAAGTTGTAGATGATTCATGGCTTTGACACAAAAGATTGTCAATTGAATTTTCATGGTTGGAAGCTTCTCAAGCAAAAACACATGGTGCATGACCTTCCTAAGATATTGAGGTGGATCCATGTGAAAATTGCATAATGGGAAAGACTTTTTCAAAAGAAAAGCATTAGAGAGCAAGTGTACTTTTGAAACTAATCCATACAGATATTTGTGGACCAATGAAGACTCCATCTCTGAAAAGCCAAAGGTACTCTATAATATGATTTTCAAGAATGACTTGGATTTATTTCTTGAAAGAAAAAATAGAAGCATTTGCTACATTCAAAAGGTTGTAGCATCAAAACCATTCCTAGTGACAGAAGAGGTGAATAGACAAATTGATAATTTGAAGAATATTTCAAAAATGAAGGCATACAAAAGCAACTTACAGTAGGATATACTCAAGAATTAAAATCATTGTTGAAATGGCCAGAATAATGATGAATGAATAAGGGTTGCCAACATATTTTTGGGCAGAAGTGTACATACACCAGTATATATCTTCAATAGGTGTTCGATAGAGGCGTTGAAGGACAAAACGCCAGTTAAAACTTGAAGTGGAATGAAACCTTCTGTGAGTCATTAATTTTTTTTTGGATGTATTTGTCATGCTCATATACCTGCTTAGAAAAGAACAAAATTGGATGAAAAGAGTAAAAAATGTATATTTCTTGATTATAGTGATGTGACAAAAGGCTATAGGCTTCTCGATATCAAAACTAACAAACTTGTTGTTTGTAGAGAAGTTATTTTTTATGAAAAAACAACATGAAATTGAAAAATTAAAAGGTGGCGAATACTTCTATCATTTCTTTAGATGTGTCAAATCTCCAAGAGGAACAAAAATGTTGAGTGACATTTATCAAAGATGCAACTTTGTCGATGTTGAGCAACAAAATTATGAAGAGGAAATGAGGCATGATGTTTGGAAGAAAGTCATGGCAGAAGATATTCAGATGATTGAGAAAAATAATACTTGGGATCTTGTGGATGTATCCAAAGAAAAAGAAGTTGTAAGTCTAAAATTAATTTACAAAATCAAACTCAATAAAGAAGGAGATATTCAAAAGCACTAAACAAGGTTGGTTGCTAGAGGTTTCATGCAAAAATCAGGTATTGATTCTTATGAAACTTGCTCTCCCGTTGAACTTCTTGAGACAATTAGAACCGTGATTGTTTTTGTTGCACGAAATAAATGGATATTTTTTCAACTTGATGTTAAGTCTGTGTTTCTAAATGAAAATTTTAATTGATTATTCTGATAGTGATTGAACTGGAAGTACAGATGACATGAAAAGTACTTCTGGTTATTCTTCATTATTTAGTTCAAGTATTTGTTTTTTATTTTCAAAAAAGTAAAGTGTTGTTGCTCAATCCACTGATGAATCATAAAATGTCTCAACAGTTAAGGCTACTTCTCAAGCTATTTGGCTTAGAAGAATTTTTGAAGACATTGATGAAAAGAAAAAAAAAAGAGGGATTGTTTTGTATTGTGATAACAAATAAGTAATTGTCATTGCAAAGAATCCGGCCAACCATGAAAGATTGAATCATATTTTCATCAAGTATCATTTTATCCGGGAAGCTCAAGATAAAGGCAAAATTCAGTCGCATTATTGCTAGACATGAGAACAACTTGATGACATCTTCATCAAAGCACTTATCCAAGAGAAAAGTTTTGCTATCTTCGAGAACACATTGTAGTTGTCAAGCAAATGCATTAAGAGGGAGTGTTGGAATTAATGCATTAACAAGGATATTATCCTTGATGTTTAATTTTTCTATATTATCTCTTAGCTTTTCAAGAAGTTTTTTAGGAGTTTATGATACATGTATATAATAAATTGTAATACATGTATCTATAGTTATTTGTGCAAGATCTTTGATTTGATATTTTGAATATTATAAATATAAATGTTGTTGATGACTGTAATCATCTCAAGTGGCATTAAATAGCCTAATAAAACTTGAGCATTCTCTAAGAAAGTATTTTCCTTTTATATTTTCTACAAAGACGAGGAAAAATGATGAAATTTTTTTATAAACATGATAGAATAAGGCGGGTTAAATCGTAGCGGATCAAGACTTGTCCCACCAAACTGTTTTATTGCCATCCCTACTAAGCAGACATAAGGCATCTATCCACAAAAAAAAAAGATAGGAAAAAAGATATTGATAGAAAAAATGATTTTTCAAGGTCAAGAAAAGCAGCTCTTTCACGTGGAAGAGATCACTACAATAGAAACATAAAGCTAAAATTACATTAAAAAAAAGTAACTCTTGATACTAAAAACTTTAATTTATAGGGGTTTTAGCCAATCGACCAAAATACATAACACTAAAGCTTACGTTCTACATGTACAGTTCAATGTCTCTCACATTATAGTTGGTATGAATTCAATTTTCCATCTTTTTCTGTCTTCTTCATGATCCCCAATATAATAAGAAAAAGTTTAAAAAAGAAAAGATAAAGTGACTTACAATTGGATGATCAACATTTTTTATGACGCAGAAAAACATAGCATTAGCTTAAATTGAAAAAGCTCAACCTTGAAAAAAATGAAATGGTACACAAACAACGAACACTTTAACTTGGCCACTAAAGAAGACAAAGAACGTAACGAACCAGTGACTATAGCTAGGCCAAGAGGGATTTCAAACTTTGAGACTCAACCACATTTGAATTTCCCTGCCACCATACTCGCGCAAAGTGATGGAAAGCCTTTTCAGTGGGATGATAAGAGTCAAATATTACATGCTCCTTCACATTTTTGCACAACTCATAAGCCTCTGCCATTCCACAACTACCAAATCCTCTATATGGACCAAACCCACAGCATGCCGCCTTTGCTTCTTTGAAACCTTTAACATAATAAAAGTTTCATTATGATCTCCATCCCCTTTGATTTACCTTAACATTAGGTTTTACTAGTGTAAATTATCAGATTATTTGATAGATAATTAAGTGCTTCCTCGTCTCAATTTATATGAGTTAGTTTGACTTGACACAAAATTTAAGAAAGAAAATTTTTTGTGACTTGTGGTCTGAAATAAGTCATAGTTATTTGTATGACTAGAAATCATTTCATTAAGGGCAAAATGAAACTTTAAAGGTTAATTTTTATTAAATATAGAAACGTGTCATTCTTTTTCATACTGACTAAAAAAAAAAGTGAGATACAAAGTTGAACAGAGGAAGTACTATATATGCCACTGTCCTTACAAAGTGAGTGCTAATATGAAAACATAAGATAGTTTACCTGCTATAACGAGTTAAAATATTCTTAACGTAATGTAATTATATTAGGTGGTAAAGTAATAGGAACGCACCATATGTTGAAGGATCTTCAAAGAGTTCATTAAGCGCATCAAAGATACTGAAGAATGAGTACTCGAAACCTCTTAATTTCTTCTTCAATTGTTTAAATTTTCGCGAAAGAGCTAAATTGTGCTTCTTTACTATAGAGTTGAGTTCATCCAAGCAATCACTATGAGGACCTTCCTTAAGAAAAGCAAGACCCCTAAATCTTGGTAAACAACCCAAAGGCAGCAAACCCTGGATCCCAAATTTTCTCCCACCTAACTTGTATATTTCCTGGTTTGAAAAAAACTCGACAAATTACTTATATAAACATGTTCAATGTATGAATTAAAAATACGTATTTGGTTACCATCATGACCGTAACGAAGCTATCCATCACCATATTCATGTATTCGTGCTCTGTTGCATAAGCTAAACAAGACATGTCTGAAGGTATATCTGGAATGTCATAAAGACGTAGATAATCGTTGTTGCCTATGCTGAACAAGTAGACTGCATTGGATAACAATGCCTTTGAACCTTTTTTCCCTAGTTGTGCCTTCAACTTTTTTCTTATAATCTTAAAATTGCCTAATTGAGTATTTAGGGAGATCACCTGTAAGGTCAATTAAGATGGTAAGAGAAAGCAATATTTGTACAATAAGGTCATATAATTTCTTTGAGAGGCATTATTTGTTGATTTGGTAAAAAATGTATCTAATAACATAACATAAGAAATTTAACTAATACTAATCGTGTAAAAATATATTTATGTATATATAATAACTTCAATTCTTGTAATATGGAGTATTATTTATTGGGGAAGAGTTAACAAAAAAGTAGTGAGTCAATCGCTACTAAAAAAATCACTATTTTTTCATTGAGATGTTAGGTGATTATTTCTAAAGATATTTGATTGTATCAGTTGGAAAGAATAGTAATTAAAAAAATTATAAAATTTCTTACTATTTCAATGATTTGTAGTGGGAAAAACATGTATTCCTAATAGTGATTGTTCAATTAAGAAAAGTTATCTGCAAAACACTTTTCTAATATTGTTAAACGTTATGAAATTTTTGTTGTTTTTAAAAATATTTCCAGTTGCATCTATTTATATAGAAAATCACTTCACTTCTTAACCCAAATGATGTAACGTAAAATACAACCGAAAAATAATATTAGCTGAGTGAATGGAGAAATGAACTCCAAACATTTATAACATTTTATATTATAGAAGTACAACTATTCAACTTTACCAACCTTTTCACTGTAGGTTTCATCTAGACAACCAGCACCAGCAGATGCAAAGTTCACTCCATGATTAATTGAATGATTGTGAAGAGCTTGGTAAAATGATGGAATCATTGGTAAATTTGCAAATTCCGCTAATAGTGATAAAAAATAATAATTACACCGTCAGTATATAAAACTTTTAAGTTAAACTCAAAAAATATAGAATAAAAAATTATAGAGGTGTGAAGGTACCAATAAAATCAGGGACGAGGCGGCCATCAGAAAATCTGCCAGTAGGATGCTTAAAATATGATTTTCCATATGGCTCAAAATTTGCTTTATAAGCTGAAGGATTGATTATGTAATTATTGTTTCCAGGATCAAACATGGAGTCTCCAAACACAAAAAGAGTTGTTTTCACTTTGTTTTGTATATCAAAACAATTAATTGGGAAATTAAAACAAGCTAGGGATATTAAAATGCAGAGATGAAAGCCTAGATTTCCCATGGGAGGACAGGGCAAGATTAAAATTTGAAACTTACTCAATTGTGCTTAATATACTTTGAATGAGATTTTATAATGGGAAAAATGACAAATATACTTGGTAAATGATATGCAAATATTCTCTGTTATACTTTTGGAATATTGGTGCTCCTAGCCTCCTACCGTTCAAAAACCATAACATATATGTACTTCACTCTGATGGAAGACCAAATAGAGACATGTGACGCAATTCTACGAAAGGACCCGATTTGACTAATTAATTAAACCTGAAATTTTAAAAACCACCCATATCCGCGTGTAATTCTTCTCTTTTCAGAATTCCAAAATACCCGAGAGATTTGTAATTAACCCGCAAAAAATCCACCAAAAAGCCACAAAAATGGAAGATTTAGACACCCAAATGGTCAAAATTTTGAATCAAAAGTAGAAATGAATAGACAAATTGGGTGAAAAATGAGAAGAACCAATAGAAAGTGCAGGCTTTGGTGGCCAACCCATCTTTCTTGTTTAAATCAATTGAGTAATTTGCATTCATATGCTTTCTTGTTTGGTTGGTTCATCTCATTTGATGCTTCTTTCGACATTGTTGTTGCTTTCGCTTGCAATGAATCTTCACTTCTTTCCATGACATCCATATGAATTTTGAGTTGAAATTTCCTAATTAATCCTACAAAGATTCATAATTTTTCAATGCTCGTCTGATACGACACTAAGGTGACGGCGTTCGTGGAGAATCGCCGGATGAAGAAGCTCACTGGTGTGAAAAGCAAGGAGATCCTCATATAGGTTATATTTTCTGATATTTGAAGAAATTTTTTTAGGGGAACTACAGGGTAACACATCAATTTCTATACAGTTGGGTTGAACAATTGGAGGAGGAGATAAGATGGTGAGTAATGGGTTATACGGGTGGGTTAAGTGGATAGATGGACGGATATGGGTGGTTTTTAAAATTTTGGGTTTAATTAATTGGTTAAATCAGTTCCTTCCGTAGGATTGTGTCATGTGTCCCTATTTAGTCTTTCGTTAGAATGAAGAGCATATTCCAAAAGTATAACAGATGATATCTATGTACTATTTATGATAATTCAAGATATATTTGTCTTTTATTCCTTTTATAATTAATGCCCACCTTATTCATGTTCTTTATTAGAGTAATATTTTTTTTTATTTAAGGTGGTTTGTATTAGAGGGCATATCTTGGATTTTGTAAAGATATTACAATTTGGTTTGATTTCATTAATTTTTTAATATAATAATAATTTGACGACCAAGAATACAATGTTAATAGGATTAAAATAAAATCTCGGACTCATTTATCTACTATTTAATAAAGTTGACCTTTATGACATTTTTATTTTATTATAAATAAATGGGAATTGATAGAGCCTTCTAATAATTAATGTTCACATCAATAAGTCAAACTAATAGTAATATCAAAGATAACTGACAGAAGAATCTAATTATTGGAGGCCCCATAAAAATAAAATGAAAAAATGCAAGTGAATATTAGGACCATCTTTAACCCCTCTAAAAAATTGAGAATTGGATCTCCAATCATACTCTAAAAATCTTTCTATTTTCTATTACTGCCTTTACTCAATAATAGTTGTCCAACATTGACTAGACACATCTCTTAAGAAACAATAAATAATAGGGGAAATATTACTATATTATTCTTTAATTTTATTAAATTTAATGTTTTAAAAAATATGTTAGATGATAAATAATACTCATTTCGTTTACTTTTACTTGTCACACTTTGACTTGACACATCTATTAAGAAAATAATTATTGATATAGGTATTTTATCAAATTATCCCCTATTAAATGATATTTTAAAAGTAATTTAAAAAATAAGTATTTAATGTTAAGGGTAACACATGGAAAAAAATTATTATTTTTTCTTGATATGCCAAAAGTGACAAGTAAAAATGAAAATTTATTTTAGGTTTAAGTGACAAGTAAAAGTGAATGAAGGGAGTATTTAATTGGTAGGGTAAAATAGACACAAAATGTAAATTATCTCAAGATTTTCTAAATTGAACAAATATTGTTGGACAACTATTTTTAGTATAATGGACAACTATTGTTGGACAGGGAGTAATATAGAGATGAATAGTAGTTCTCCAACCTCTCTATTTCCCTTTTTCATTATTTTAAAATAATTTCTATTATCTTGTAATAACATATTATTTTTTCATAAAGGCTATTAGTTAACTTTCTAATATTCGTAATTCTTTTAAAATGTAATACAATATTTAAAAAAATATATTCTTTAATATATACTACTTTGATCTCGAATTAACAATATTTCAAATATTTTTTTTCAATTTTCGTCCCTTTAAGTGATAATTTGATATTATTATTAATTTTCACCATAAAGAATGCACAAAATTTAAATGATAGACAATTTTAATTTAAAAATACAATACATAACATAATAATTGAAATACAAAATAACAATACAATACATAACATAATAATTTTAAAAGCCCCAACAATAATTTAGTAATCCGATAGGTCGTTTTCAGATTTAGCAATATTCAGAAAGAAATTAGTGTATGATCCAGAGGATTGTTGTGCTTGTGATTACGGTTGTGCTTGTTGATTTCTTTTTTGAATTATTCGTAGTTGTTCATAAAATTTTTAGACAGAAATATAATTTTATATTAAATAAAGAATTTGAAAATAATATATATTACATGAAAATTATATACGGTGATTTTTTTTTTAAAAAAAGAACAGATTTATATTATGAAATAAGAAAATGAGATATAAATAGAAATAATAATATAATATTAAGGAGAGAAGAAAATTCTTTTTTAGAGAGTAAAATAGAGAATTGAGTTGAAGTTGGTTGTCTAATAGAGAATTGAGTTGAAGTTGGTTGTCTGAAAAAATAGAGAACTTTATATTTAGAGAATAAAATAAAGTGTGCGGTTGGAGATGCCCTGACGGAGTAATTGTCACACAGACTCTTGAGTTGCATAGACTATTAATAAGGTCTTGCCTTTGGCCCGTTGATTGGAGGAGGACATATTCCTTCAAGAGGCTATGAGTACTAAAGAAACATAATACTCCCTTCGTTTCAAAAAGAGTGGTCTAGTTTGACTTGACACAAAGTAACAAAATAAAGAAAACTTTTGAATCTTGTAGTCCTAAATTAAAGTTATGTCAAATGTATAAAATTGTCTTTTAATCTTGTGGCCTTAAACATGCCACGTGGAAAACTGAAATTAAAATGTTACTGAAATAAGAAAGAGGTCATTTTTTTTTAAACAGACTAAAAAGAAAAGTGGATCATTTATTTTGAAACTGAGGGAGTGACATCCTTTTGCATTTTTCTAAATGAAATAACTAAAAGAAGTTAAAGAAAGTAAAAAGAAATGGAATGCAAGAGGTATTAATGAAAACATGGAGTAGACAATATTTGTGAGGGACATGCAGCTTGCAGGTGGAGACCTGCAACGCGCATGTCCCACACATGCTAGAAATATATAATTAACAACAAATCATCTCCCCTACATTCACACCTAAATTTCACAGATGGAGACTCGTGAAACGCAGTGAAGACATAATCCCATGCCTTCACATTCATTGCACCTACAACACACATATTCCTAGCATTGATTAACTCGGCGATAAACATGCCTCATATTACTTAGGCAAAAAATTCAACCTATTTTAGAACCTAAATGATACTCAGACTTCACAAAAAATCAATGAAGCTTTATTAAGCAAACTTAACGATATACCTTAAGAATTATGTTACCCATCAATCATCGAGAAATTTCAAGTTATACATACAATTAAGAACAGATAATCAGAACGTATAATCAACTCTCATTCACAATCAATAGTCTCACCCCTCATTATTATTGTTGATTCTGTATTCCTAAGATACTAGAACAAATTTTTTGAAGAACTTGGTAAGAAACAACAAAATTTAAAGAGTATTTTCAAAACTAGAAAAATTAAAATGAGTAGAGAAAAGAGAATCAGAAACTTATTAGAAATATTATACAAAATATTTTTCTCAAAAAGAAAATCGAGCACACTAAATACACAGTGTATCCTTAAGGAAATTATTCCCTTCAAGTACCCGAGGTTAATGAAATATATCTTCCCAAAATAAAACGATCTTACTCACCGGTGTATCGGTACTTATGCCCACGGTGTCAGCGAATTACTCAACGACAGTAAAGTACACTTAGAATACTAGATTTAGTAGTAGTAGAAGAAGTCCAATTTTAGAAAATTGGTTGTTTCTAAAATGAGAGGAAATCCATCTATTTAGAGACAACAAAGGGTAGTGTGAATACGTGTTTATTGTGACTTATCAGAAAGGTCACAACCTTTCATAAAAGCCACAACTTTTCATAAAAGTCACAACTCTTCATAAAAGTCACAACTCTTCATAAAAGTCGTAATTTTTCATTAAGGTCATTCATAAAAGTCTCAACTTTTCATTATCCATTCACACCTTTTAAAACCAAACAATCCCCCGCATGAATGGAGAATGACTCTAAGACAAAGAAATGGGCAACTGTGTATACTTTACAAGAAAAAATGTCACGACCCAAATTTACAAGTCGTGATGGCACCTATGTTCCCAACCGATAGGTAAGCCAACCCAATAAATTTACCAATTTAACTAAATAGTGGGTTGAAAAGTTAAACAACGAGTAAAATATCTCTAACACTAAGTCCTGTATAAATACGAAATGCGGAAAGCTAGAATACCACCCAAGAATTGGTGTCATAAGTACAAGAGCTTCTAAAATACGGTGCAAGTCTGAAACTAAATTGACAAGCCTAAACATAAGAGATGTCATGTCTGAAAACAAAAGGAACAGAATAAACCATAAAATAGATGGAGGTGTGGGCTACGGAATAGCCAAGCAGCTCACCACAACTCCAAGATACTCCAAGCTCGGACTCAAAAAGCTCAACGAGAGGTGCTCTTATTAGGAATCGAATATGAACCACAAAATAGTGCAACAAGTGTAGTATGAGTACGAAACCACGTGTACCCAGTATATCTCATAGACCGACAACGAAGAAGTAGTGACGGGAGTTCATATAAGAAAATTAGTTCTTTACTTATACAAGTCTATATTATACTTACCAGTCAAGTTTCACCAAATAGAGGTAATCAAATATCAAGTACTTTCCAACCACCAATAAAACACATAATCATCAAGAATGAAGGATGTCATGAGATGCAATGCAATATGACACGATGAAATGATATGCCTCCAAGTATTCTCTCAACCGTATATACATGATTCTCCTAGGAGATACATTGAGAGTTCATGACCCATGGGGGAATCGCGAGGTCCATATACCGACACATACGATCTCCACGTGTGTGCGGACGATCTCAACGCACTGTCATAAAATTAAACAATTTCTGCATGGACGATCTCCACGTGCCCAAATTATAATCTTAATATCTCACCATCCCCAATACTGACAATCTCAACATGCCCAACTTATACTCAATCTCATGTCAATGCATGTGCATAATATAATATCAATGAAAAGGAATGATGACGCATCTCAATCAAATATCAATATGATATGTAATAAGCTCAGCTATCACAACTATATGGGTTCAATAAAGAACAGAATCACACATAACAAATCAAGTCAATAATATATCAGCTAATGTCTATATGCTTTGGCATTCTCGGATTACAATACACATTCTATAGTAATAAACTTTCCCTTTATAACACCGGTATAGAATAAACTTTTCCTTTATAACACCGGTACTTGTACCAATGCTCGTCACACCATTGGTACGAGATCCCCATCTTTCGCCCTTACCCATGGTCTATTCCATTTTTAATCTTTAATTAGAAAAAAACATCCTTTAATGAAGTCTGGAAGTCTTAACATACCTTAAATGCCAAACACGTGCCACGAATTCTCAAGATTTTGTCTTTCCTTTTCGTAGGGCTTCAGAATGTTCTCAATCTATCAATTATACAATGTTCATAAGTAAACGAA